ATATATATATTTTACTTTCTGGTAAAAATAAACTGATCTGATACAATTTTATTGACATTATTAGCAGCTGACGTTGGCAAAGGAGGAGAAGGATCTAAAAAAACCAAAAGGCATTATTCTTTTGCCATTCTTATTGGTGGTTTGTGTTTTGGTGGGTTATTTTTAATCATTTTTCAGGACAAAACTGTTGTAAAAGGTTAATGCTAACAAAGAACTTAATCCAAAATAAAATGGTCATGGTAGTTTAGTATTATCACTATTATAATACCGTAATACAACATGATCTGAATCTGAAATGTGAGTCCCAAGTGTGCCATTTTGCTATGTGTACCTGGCAAGATTCAGTTCTCTATAAGGTAGCAACCTCCTCTTATACATTTAGGTACTGTTTATAGAAGAAAGGTGTTAAGACTTAGCAAAATTAGACTAAGTGCAAAGATATTTATAGGTCATGTTTTTTCCTTTAGGTCTTAAACTTTCCGAGGCTCTGGATTTTCTATGACATTTCTCTGCCATTTTAATTGGAAGTGTCGCATTTAAGAACACTTAACACTTGTCAAGAGTAATAAATACTGAAACCTACAAACTCCAGAAGTAATACCATTCAGCCCTCTTTCTATAAATTAGAAAACTGACTCCCAGAGAGACTAAGTACCTTTAAATTACTTACATAAAACAAGTTAACCTTTGGACATCCAGTAAATTGCTGTTCAATATGCTATTTGTTCTGTCCAGTGTGTTCTTTTTATTTGTGAAATACCTGTTTCCTATCTACCACCTTAAACAACAGGATGATGATTAAACAAATAATACTCTGACCTTGATGCTTGTAGTACATTAAACAGTATGCTTTTACTGACATTATTACAGGTTGTATGTCTAGAAATTGTATCCACATTAGGTGAGCATTAGGCACTTACTGGTTTATTAACCTCATGATATGTCCGTCATCCTTGTACAAACTCACCAATTTTTCAAACACTAGGAAGAGGTATCATAAGCTTTGAAATAAGGGCTGTTGGCCTCAAAACCTAGGCTTTGTGGTTTTATTTCTTTTCTTCTTTCCTAATAGGAACATGAGTTCTGCTGGCCCTGATGGGAGGAAAGTGATGAGAAGGTGTGATGGACTGATTGATTCCTTGGTCCATTATGTCAGAGGAACCATTGCAGATTACCAGCCAGATGACAAAGTAATTAAAAAGTTAAATATCTTTCAGACTGACTTACCTTTCTTGTCTTTCTAAGACTCTTTGGCATATACTGATGTAGCTATTGGTGTTTAAATTTTGTCATAGATAACATTTTATTCTAACTGTAAGATTTTTCTATTTGTTGTTGTGTGCCATGGAGTCAGAACTGACCCATAGCTGACACTCCAGTGGGTTTTCAGAGGCAGTTAATTGTGCAGGAAGAGACTGTGTATCTGTCTCCTGCAGAGCAGCTGGTGGATTTGAACTCCATACCTTTGGGTTACCAGAACTACTACTTACCACTAGAACACCAGAGATTCCTTATTTCTGCTTATAAATAGCAAAATATCTAGCCCTGTTTTTCTTTCTATTTTTCAGGAAAATTTTTCAACTACCTGTGTGGTTTTTTTTCTGCATAGATATTTTAAAGGACCCAAAATTCTACATGTTCAGGATTAATTTACCTCCATTTCATCCCTCTTCTCTAAATTTGCTTCTCCTTTGCATAACCCTTCTTAATAATTATCCCCATCCACTCAATGAAAGTGGAAATGTGAATGATCTTAGACTGCCCGTCCTCTTTCTTATACCCACTTAGTAACAATTCACCTTCCTTCTACCTTTGAAATTTCTTTTAGTTCATTCGTTCTTCCCTTGTGCTTCAATTGCTGTTCTAGTTCATGTATTTTTCACACATTTTATCACAATAAACTACTTGGTTTCTAGCAACAGTATTTTCTTCTAGTCTCCAACACCACGTAGTTACTAAATTATGTCTCTAAAACATATTCCTCTTATACACATCTCTAAAAAGTAGAATAGAAAGGATCTTCACTGTTAAAAAAGCTTCTTACCATGCTCTGTTCCATGCATGACTCAGGCTTAGCCTTTCCAGATATACTTACTGTACTCTCCCAAGTACACTGTACCCCATCCAGTTAAGAGTAAGGGTTAAAACCTAGTTAGTCCTGTAAAATTGCACTTGCAAAAAGCTATCTGTCTTTTTCTATATGATCAGCATTTCTTTTCTTTCCCAGGCCACAGAAAATTCTGTGTGCATTCTTCATAACCTCTCCTACCAGCTGGAAACAGAGCTCCCAGAGAAATATTCTCAAAGTAACTATATTCAGAACCGGAATATCCAGATGGACAGCAACAAAAGTATTGGGTGTTTTGGGAATCGGAGCAGAAAAGTGAAAGAGGTATATCAAAAGTTTTTTAAAGGAGGAAGGAACGATGTGTGTGTGTGTGTGTGTGTGTGTGTTGTTGTATAAAGGGTCACGTGTGCATTCCTGAGTACTTAGAATGTGTCAGACACTATTTTAAATGCTTTGCATTCTTATCTTAATACTATGAGATATGTACTATTAATATCAGCATTTAATGGGGAAACAGAGGTATGGTAAGGTTAACTATTTGTTTCCAGAAAAATTTAGCAAATAAGTTGAAAAATATATGAAATTCAGTCCATGCAATCTGAATCCAGATTTTCCTGTTTAATCATTAAAACCATCTTTCTACATGCCCTATTGGTTAGGAAGCAAATAGAACTTTACAAGACCAATAGTATATACATTATTTTAATGATAAAAGCGGTCCTGAGAGTGAGTTTGGAGCATTCTAAAAACTAACTTTGAATATACTAAAAACAAAATCCATAAGAAATAGTGCATGTTTGTTTTCATACTGATAGGGAAACTGAAAGAATGTGACCTTCTCTTCTACTCCTCTGAGTATCAGGGTGCTTGTGAACTTGGAGAACAACTGGCAAATTTAGAACTTGACGCTATCCTCAACAACCTCAGAAGACTCTGAGTGAACAGACATGGTTTTCTTATCCTCAGGGTGGTTGTGATTAATTTAGCTTTTAGCTTAACAACAGCCTGAAATGATTCTAGAACAGTCTTTTCCTAATTGCCTGAGATCTCTCTACTTGCGAAATAGGAAGGAGGGGGCTATTAAGGAAAAATAACCATCAAGGGCTCAAGTTAAGTCATTAGAAATTATGCACAGTTTTTATTTGCATTTCAAAGGCTTCTTATTCTGTGTGTTGTTAGTCTTTCTATACTGTAGCATATTTCCAGTCTCTCGGGCTGAGAATAGAATTATTGAGACACAGTTCTCTGAATTGTATTATATATGTGATCAGCAATACCAGGACCTGCCGATGCCAGAGGAAAAGAGCAACCCCAAAGGTGTAGAGTGGCTGTGGCACTCCATCGTGATACGCATGTACCTGTCTTTGATTGCCAAGAGCGCGCGGAACTACACACAGGAAGCCTCTTTGGGAGCACTGCAGAATCTCACAGCAGGAAGTGGACCAGTGAGTATTACACTCGTTTTTCTTCTTTAAAAAAAGTGACGGTGTAGATATACTAACAGTTGGTTTGGAGATGAGATAATGAAGTAAGAACCACAGATTTCTCATTTTACTCAAGACAGTTCTCGGGAATTGCCATGTGTTTCCACTTTCAGTATCTTCAGCCTCTGCTTATGTCAGACTATGAGTAGAACACTCACAGGATACACTATATTTGCATGAATAGCACACTCTTGTGAATAATGTGCATATAGACAAAAATAGTGGAAATGACATAATTATATTTTAAAAGTCCTGGCAAAGCACACCTGTGCATACACTGTATAGGTCTCATGGTGTGTAGGGAACTGAATTTTGGTGTCACACACCCTCAATTAATAGTCTGAAAGCAGTACTTTTGAGCATACTTCTTGACTAGAGGAATAAGCAATGGTCAAGAAGTCCTGGATCAAGTTCATTCATACTCTGATAATTAGAACATAAACAATTGAAGCTGTCTGTTCTGAGGTATTCTATGGCAGGACAGTAGAACTCTCGTTACTGATCTGCACTCAGGTCCATTATGCCAGAGATGAGTAAAGGGTTGAGTGAAGGGCTAGGTAGGAAGCTACCACAGCCTGGACAGAGGCTGGTCCAGTGGTGAGTGGGTGTCATTGCTGAGCACGTCTGGGTGCTGTGGTAAAGCTGGGCAACAGGTCCAGCATGTACTGCCCTATAAGTTCCCCATAAAGTCACTCAGACCTGTCTTGTTCAAACAAGGGCTGCATGCTCCCTCTACACATGCGGGTCTTATGCCACCGCACAGTGTCCTTAGGCAGAAGATCCAAATGACTTGAGCATGGCAGCTGGCCAGCTGGCTGGCAAGACATGTGCACAGCTGTGGAACACCAGCCTAATCTGTTCAAGTGGCCCCTCCCTGCCTGGGGCACACAAACCCATGTACTTCCTCAGCAGGGGCCACCCACCTATGTGAGGCATGTTTCTAGTGTAGAAAAAGTTACTCTTTTCTGTGTTGGAGAAAGCAGTTGGCAGAGCAGGAAGGGAAGCCTGCCAGGATAAGGGCTGCTTTAGGAATTTGAATGTAGACTGATGGAGTCTGCTCTTGGTAGCAAAGCCTCTGTGACAACAGGCAGCAAGACAAAGACTTGACATTAAATCTATTGAAGAGAAGAAATTGAAACAGAATTAACAACATAAAAAATTTTAGTAAAGAGTACTTTTGAAAAAATAATGTAGGGCTGCATGATATATATAGGTTATTTGCATAAAAAATATGGTATTTGTAGTAGTCAGGACTCTTTTAGTTACAGGATGTAGACTCCTATTTCAAAGTGGCCAAAGGGCGGCAGGGAAGTAATTTCATAGATGGTAGAACTGGAAGAGCAGAGTAGATCTTCCATTGCGGTGAGGTCAAGATGTTCTAGCAAATATGGCTATGACTTGCACTGTTCCTGGACTTTGTTGATTTTATTCTCAAAGGCTCTTCCCATATCATGGTAGAGAAAGAAAATATCAATTTCTAAGTCTTATTTCTGTGTCACAGAGTAGTGTTGCTCCACAGGGTTGGTTTATTTTGGTGAAGGTTTGGTTTTTTCAACATTTTCTTTTATATTGGTTTGCATACAATATTTGTATACATTGTGTTTCACACTTTCCTTCATTGACATTGCGTTTCATACATTGTATTTTATAAAATTATCACCATTGAACAATGCCCACCATTCCCCCATCTTTTCCGATCCCACCAGATCTTTCCCATTTCCTTTACCCCCTTCCCTCCACCCACCAAATTGTTGTTATTTGTTTGCTGTAATTTTTGCAGAAGTGTATCATCAGATCATTTGTCTGTGACATTACTGAGTGAGTTTGAATCATCAACCTTTAAATTAATAGATGAGCCTAGAAAACCCTGTGTCATCCAGGTTTAGTTATCTGTCATTTCATGCTTCTATTTTACCACACTACCTGTTTATTCAAAGAACGATCTTTTCCCCATATAACTTCATCAAAGTTCAAAGAATGAGCCTCACTGACCTGCTTCTTTTTAACCAGTAGCTGTGGCTGAAATGTCTTGATTGCTCAGGTGAGAGGTATGCGCTCAAAGGAGAATCTGAGGGGCATGCATTGAGAGGGTTGCCACCATTTGTACCACATAGACTGACAAAGGAAAAGACTGCTTCCCTATTCGAAATTCAGAATATTATGAAAAGGAAGAATGAGTGCTGGGCAGGCAAAAATAACAGATGTCCACTGCAGTATCAAATTGGAAAGGACATCTGTGCTTTTGTGTCCCAAAAAATTCAGCCACAAAATAAAGTGCTTTTCTCTCCAGATATGCTGTATTTAAAAAAATTTTTTTAAAAGTCCAACTATGTAAAATCTTACTTCCTTCTGCTTTTTATATATTACACCATGCTACATATTTAGGGCCTCTTTAAATATTATTAGAACTCTTCTTTGCCAACACCACAAAATGATTAACATAATCTCCCCAAGAATAGTTCATTGTATGGCCAACCTCCAAATATCCAAAAGCATTCTTGTAGTAACAAAAATATTACAAGGAAAAAAACCCACAAAAATTTATAATATCTAAAAGTAATAACTAAATGGAAAAGCATGAAAAGCTGTTCAGAGAATTTTCACATAATATCCAATCCATTTGTTTATTCTCTATTCAAGAATTCATATTCAAATTTTAATATAAGTGGGTGTTTACAGAAGCTTGTTCTTTGTTTTGAATCAAGTTGTAAAATACTAAAATCAGTATTTCTCTTACCACTGGCTAGAAATACGGTCATATTTTCATCTCTTTCATTTTCAGCAAGATGTAATTGTGCAGTAAGAGAAAGAAATGGGAAATTCCCAGGAGCTCTCAACACCTCATGGACATGAATTTAATGTCTTTTTTCCCATGCTGGGAGTCCCCAAACTATTTCTCTTCAAAAAGAAGCCCTCTTATTATCACCTACCAAAAAACTCACTGCCATTAAGTTGGTTCTGATTCATAGTAACCCCATATGATAGAATTGCCCCATACTAGACTGCTAGGAAGACAAACATGTTCATCCTGGAGAGGATAAGACCAGGCGCTTCTTGTAGACAAGGATTCTGAAGCTTAGTCTGGCATACTCTGGACATGTTGCAAGGCAGGATCAGTCCTTGGAGAGGGACGTCATGCTTGGTAGGGAGGAGGGACAGTGCAAAGAGGAGGACCCTCCATGAAGTGGATTGATTCAGTGACTGGGGTTATTGGGGTGGGTGTGTTAAAGACAATGAGATTGGCACAGGATAGAGCAGGGTTTAGGGCTGTTGTACATAGGGTCGCTATGAGTTGCAGGCAATTAGATAGCACATAACAACAACAAAATACTGTTTCCAAAAGTGCTACATATTTTCCTATGGAGTAGCTGGTTGGTTCAGATGGTTCATGTTTTTGGTTAGCAGCAGAGTGCTTTAACCATTGCACAACCAGGGTTCCTTCCTCTTAATAACTCCTAGCCAACTTAAAAGAAAAATGCAAGAACTAAAATAGCTATCCCTGTTCCTGTCTCTCAGTGTGTGTTTTAAGTTCCCTGTGTTCTGAGTATGGCTCAGTTTGCACTAATTCTTTCAGCTTTTATCTAAGCCCCAATTCCAAGATCCTTTCATGGGGACAGACAACCAAAATATTCTGTGTTCCTGAGGATACAACAGTAGTTGTACCATTTAAGCTCTGAATTTGTCATTTATTACCTAGAACCTAAGTTTACACATTTACTAAACAAATTTTTCTCTGAAAATCGACTACATGGCAAGCATTAACCCATGGCTAAGGCTATTACAGTGAGTAAGACAATCCTTATATTAAAGACTATGGTGGCAGGGAGAGGGGGATGACAAAAATGTAAGGTCAAATAAAGGACAAAATCTTCACAAATATCTTAATCATGTCAAAGATTTACAGTAATATCTAAACTTACAGCAAACTGCACCCAATGCCATCAAGTCAGTTCCAATTCATAACAAAATGGTATTTCTCTAAGCATTTCCAAGCTGAATGAAGAAGAGAAAATGATGCATCAGGGCACAGGACCATGAACATCTCTCTGAAAGGGCCAGAGGAAGTAAGGATAGCACAACCCCTCACTGTCCCAGAGCAGAAAGCAGATAATGAGCCCATAGCCCAGCTCCATGGTACCTGTAGAATCACCAACAGCAAGAGGTTCTTTTATCCATTGCTGACTCACAGACTCAAGTTGTGGTACTGAGAATGGGGTTTATTAGGTAAGTAAATGGAAGAATGAAAGAGGCAAAGAATATCACTCAGTGCAAATCCAAGTTTTAGGTAAGCAGTCCCAGGCACGGCTCCTCAATTAGTCTAGGCTCTGGTTTCAGTTCAACAGTCAAATTCAAAGCATCCAACAAGGTTTGCTTCCGAGCAGTTGTAAGTCAGCTTCTCCTTCAAACATCTGGCAAGAACAGCCAAACCTTTAACTGTGGCCAGCACAATTGCAAAGTCTAACCTTACCAGTATTTGTCCATAACAATGCAACAGCCTCTCCACCACCAGGGTCTCACTCTCACCAGGTCTTACTGCTACAAGCCTTGCTTACCTCAAGTCTTGCTCCTGAAGCATTCTTTCTCTTATCCTAGTCCCACAGCTTATGTTGATTTACAAGACCATGCTGATTTGCAAGACCATGTGTCTACAGTTAAAGTAGCTGGAAACCAGAGACTAAATGGTTTTTTAAAAGCCAACTTTCAGGCTGACATCACACCTTCAGCCATCACAATTAGAGCTTAAATGGTACAACTACTGTTGTATCCTCTGGAACAGAACATTTTGGTTGTCTGTCTCCATGAAAGGATCTCAGCCTATGAATCTTTATATCATTTTTCATCCTTGGAGCAGCTGATGGTTTTAAACTGCTGAACTTTTCTTGGCAGCCAAATGCTTTAAAACTACACTGCTGGGGATGAGAGTAAGGTGGTTAATCATAGGGTGGCACAAGTCACGAGGT